CTCTGCCTCCCGAGTGCTGGGATTAAAGGCGTGCGCCACCACCGCCCGGCCAAGAATTTATATTTTTAACAAACTCTTGTGAGGTTTCCCCTCAAGCAAATTAAAGTAACAGTGTCTCCATCCGCAGCCTCAGTTTACAACCTTCGAACAGCCCATCACAGGACAGCAAGGCTGGGGTGATTAAAACCCTTAACCTCCAAGCCCTCAGCTCTGTGAACAGACAGGACTTGCCTGGGTTTCTGTCCTGAAATAAGGCTAAACTTCTGCAGGTCTCTAAAAGGCCAGGTCCTTCTGTGTCCCTACCGAGTCAGGGTCAGCCCGAGCAAAGAGGCTGTGACCACTTCTTCCTCCAGCTCTCCACCTTCCAGACAGTGCACTGGGACAGGCATGACCAGAGAGGGTCCTGTTTGCTTCAGATCGTGGCTGCATTGAGAATCAGAGCTCTGAAGCCCCAGCCCACACACTCAGCCCGCCCTGGAGACTAGAGTAGATCCAGAATCTCCATGCACCAGGAGGAAGGAGGCATCTAGGTAGGCAATTCTCCACAGCAACCAGAAGTTGGTCCCATCGGCCATGGACAGTTGCTCTCTGAAAACAAAACAAACAAACAAACAAACAATGGTTGTAGACTGAGTTGTTGACAGAGCTCCAGTGGCCCTTGGCTTGGTCATGAATCCAAGAAGACAACGGACAAATAAAAGGGAGAAAGAAAGAGGAGAAAGATGGAAATAGATGTGAGATACGGAGCCAAGCAAAAATGCATTTCTTGCGTTTTGATCACAATTTAGTCTTGTAGCTATTCTGCAAGACAGGTGGCTGTGGTCTGAACGTTGGTGCCCCCACCCCACCCCAAAAAAAGTGTGTGTGTGTGTGTGTGTGTGTGTGTGTGTGTGTGTGTACATGTCTGTGGGGGCACATGCAAATGTGAGGCCAGAAGTCAGCATCAGTGTCTTCTTCAATCACTCCCTACCTTAATTTCGTAGAGGCTCTCATTGAACCTGGAGCGCGCTGATTGGCTGGACTGGCCGGTCAGCGAGGCGGCTCCTGTGTCTGCCTCCCAGTGCCGGAATTACAGGCCCATGTCCTGCTGGGGTCCTCACATGTGCTCATCAAGCACTTTACCCACTGAAGCATTTCCGGAAGCCCTCACAGGCTGGCACTTACCCCTTCTGCAGCTGGGTCAAGAGCCGGGAACGTTACAACCTGATTAGGTCCTGATGAGGGGTCGGTGGGCATGTCCTAACCTCTTCAGCTCTTCTGTCACATGAAGACACAGCAAGAAGAATTGAGATGTGCTACACTGGCTGGTTTTATGGCAACTTGACACACGCTAAAGTCATCTGAGCAGAGGGAGCCTCAATTAAGAAAATGCCTCCATGAGATCAGGCTGTAGGCAAGTCTGTCAGGCATTTTCTTAATTAGTGATTGATGAGGGAAGGCCCAGCTAAGTTGGTGGCCCTGGGTTCTATAAGAAAGCAGGCTGAGCAAGCCATGAGGAGCAAGCCAGTGAGCAGCACCCTTCCATAGCCTCTGCAGCAGCGCCTGCCTCCAGGTTCCTGCCCTGCTTGAGTTCCTGTCCTGACTTCCTTCAGTGGTGGACTATGATGTGGAAGTGTAAGCCGAATAAACACTTTTCTCCCCAGCTTGTTTTTGGTTGTGGTGTTCCACCACAGCAATAGTAACCCAACCTAAGACACATGGAAAATGAGACTTGACCTTGAACTCTCATACTTCCAGAACTATGAGAAATAAATTTCTATCCTTTTTAAATGACCTAGTGTATACCAGGTCAAATAGACTGAGACAGTATTTATCCACTCATTTTTTTTGTTTTCTATTAATTAATTAATTAGCTTTGCTTTGAGACAGGGTCTCATGTAGCCCAGGTTGACCTCAAATTTGCTATGTAATTGAGGCTAGTCTTGAACTCCTGATCCTCCTGCCTTGACCTCCAAAGTGGTATGATTATTGGCATGCACCTCGCTTTCCATTCATTTTGAAAGACAAGTTGGGGGCCCGGCTGTACTCCAGGCATTATTATTATTTCCTTGGGGCTAGGGAGAGAGTGAATGTAGGAATGCTATCTACAAACCTTTTCCAGTCTACAATTAAGGAACCTGAGGCTCAGGAAGGAGGCTGAAGGCTGAGCATGACGCCACATGCTTGTAATCCCAGCACTCAAGGTGCTAGGGCTGGAGACTCATGGATTTGAGGCCAGCCTCAGCTACAGAGTGAGACTTGTCTCAAGATTTAACAATGAACTAAAAACACAGAAAGGAGGTCAAGGCCCCTCAGAGGCCAGGTCGCCCTCGTTAGTGAATAGAGGTTCCTATGACCAGCATCGAGGCCGAGAGCTGTGTAACTAAAATCATCTTCCTGCCACTCTGTTTCCTGTCTCAGGGTTGGCTATACTTACAAAGGACCAAGTGATATGGGGCTGCATCACCGTGCAGGATCGGCTGAGGGAGACAGGGGAATGGACCCCATGTCCAGATGGATGGGGGAGTGGTGAGACAAGGCCTTCAATGTCCCCAGAGTTCAGGAGAGACCAGTAAAGCCCTCATTTGTCAGCCATCTACGGTATGTCTGGTGCTGTGGGGGAAGCCGAGGACTCTGCCGGGATCCTTTCCATTAAAGGGTCCAGTTGGAGACAAGGTCTCACTGTGTAGCCCAGGCTGGGTCTGGATGCCTGGGTCCATCTGCCTCAACCTCCTGATTGCTGAGATTACAGGTCTGTACCACCATGCCCTGCAGACAGACCATGAGGCAGCCATTACTGTCCCCTGGAATATAGATAAACCAGAAAGAAAGGTGACTTGCTAAGCCAGAAAGCCAGGGGACTGGTCGGGATCCTGAACAGTCACTCTGAGGTGCCCCTGACTCTGGCGTGTGTCTGAGATGTCACTTCCGGCTGCCTCAGAGGGCAGGGACAACAAGGTCTATTTTAGGGCTGTGTTCTTCTGAGAAGAGGTGCATCTCACTTAGACATCACAGCAAGTGTGTGGACCCAAAGAAGCTCTTTCTAGATGGGAGAATAGGAGATGAGGAAGCAGAATGGTACATACTTGAAACCACTTGGAGACTGAGGCAGGAAGATTGCCAGCTGCAAACTAGCCTGGCTTACCGTGTCTCAGAATAGTAACAACCTTGTGTCAGAACAACCAAAAAAAAAAAGTCAGGCTGAAATGATTTCTCAGTGTTAGAGGCCTAGCTCCAGTAAACCCGGGTTCAATTCCAAGCACCCACAGGGCAGCTACAACCATCTGTATTCTCCAGTTCCAGGGGAGCTGACGCCCTCTTCTGGCCTCTGTAGTTAGCAGGCACACATGTGGTGCACAGCCATACATGTAAGTAAAACACTCATACACATACATTTTTAAAAAAAAGAAAAAAAAGTGTTTAAAGAAAAGGATGTTGGAGCCAGGCACTCCAGCATCCTCCCTGGGAGCTGCTATGCCCCCGGCCTGGGGAAGAGACAGACTCAGGGAAGCTCACAGAGGGCTTTGCAAGTACAGCAGGAGATTAAGATTAGGACCGAAGAGCTCAGTGCCACTCACGCCCTCTCCCCAGGGAACAGCCTCCCAAGTTCTAGGAAGAGCAGCCCGTGGCATAACCCTGGTGCCCGTGGTCCCGTGAAGAGGCCCGTAGAGAAGCCATGCTCTCCAACCTAACGCTGGCACACTCTTCCCAGACCTGCTCACGCTCTGGAGGGTCATGTCCCTCCCTCATGGCTCCCCAACTCCTCTCCTGGGCCTGCCTCACCCGCCACACACAACCGTGGGCAACCCAGGAGCAGGGCCAGTAGCTGCTAGAATGACGGACCGGAAGAAGCCACACGTCTCTGCCTTAGCCGAGGGAATCAGAGTTTTCACATTCGGGTCACACATCTGCATGGAGCCCGGTACCCCGGCACGCTGTCTCTGCCTTTCAAGAAGGAATTCAGATCAGGGAAGCTGGAAGCCGTCCCCAAGGTATCCTGCAGCTGGAAGGAGAATTGAGAGCAAACTATAGCTGGGAACACAGCGTGTCCACCTTCCCCAAACCAGGCTGGAGCTCTAGGCGCTACTGTTAGCTCTAGGCAGGGAATGGGGTGGGGTGGAAAGGCTAGAGGTGGGGGAGGGGCAGCGTGAGTAGTGGGGGCCACCCCACCTGTTGCTGCTGCCCAGCAGCGCTGGCAGGAAGGCACAGCCCTCCCCTCTGTCTCCACCCTCACCATACTTCCCATCCATTGTCATCACACTGTCTCAGCGCTGCTATATTTAAGACGGTGCAGGGCTCCAAGATCACATTCTTCACCCGTCCTCACTGAGCCGAGGGCAGGAAGAGACCAGGGACCTTCTTCCTGTCCTGGAGACATTTGTGTGGACACTGCTGTTTCCGTGAGTCACATACAGGGATCAGGGTCTGAGAGAGCCCTGCTGAGAGAGACCCCAAGTCTCTTTCCACAGGGAAAGACCTATGTGGGGGTTGTATACAGTGTATGTGTAGTGTACATGTCTGTGGTGTATGTGTCTCTATGGTATGTGGTATTGTGTATGAGTATATGATGTGGGGGGGGTCTATGCATAGGTTTACATGTATGTCTATAATGTGTGTATGTGTTCATGCTGTGTGTGTGTGTGTATCAAGTAGTGAGGGGTAGTATTTGTGTGACTATGGTGTGTGTATCTATAGTATAGGGTGGGGGATATGTGTATATGATGTGTGTATCTATTTTGTGTGTGTGTGTGTGCTATAGGGTGTGTGTGTGTGTGTGTGTGTGTGTGTGTTTATTGTGTGTGTATATATATATATATATATATATATATATATATATGTAAATATATTGGGAAAGGGGCTTGGGAGATTTGAGCTTGTTAGCACCCCAAGTGAAAACAGGGAACCCCAGAACTCTTTGCCTCATTTCACTGTTGTAGCCCTGGGTCGTGAGTCTTCCGGTCCGAGTCCCCCTTGATAGTAAAGCTAAAAATAAAGAAAAGAAAGGCCCTTGGGGGGACACTTGGAACTGGAGCCTTTGCTGCGTGAGGCAGCCAGTCAGGGAGCTAAGAGCTGACAGGTCCCGCAGGGCATGGAGCATGCCTGCTGAGTCCTGCTTGTTCGAACCCAAACCCTGCAGTGCCAGATCCTAGGGCCACCAGGTTCCTCCGGCACAGGGGATGGGGACGTGGGGCTCTGCTGGGAAAGGAACAGCCTCCACTATCCAGGCCAGATCATCACAGCCCTCCTGGGAGCTAGGAAGCCACTGCACGTCCCGGCCTGTGCCGACCCACTGGGCAGGATGCATCCACTCCAGCCCAGCCAATACAGCTCCTCACAAAGGGCAATGGAGGCCACGAACCTGTTCCCTGCTTTAATCCCACACTTCAGTCAGCGCTTTAAAAAGCATCCATGGCTCACCGCAGAGGAGGGGGTCTGGAGGCTGAGTGCCAGTGGGCCACTGTGTTCCTCAGGGCAGAGTATCAGGAGAGAGCCAGTGCTGACGTCAGAGCACACGAACCCTTGCTGTTGTGGTCGTGGCCAATGTCCCAGGACATCGGTGGAGCCTCGCTCCCCAGGTCAACCCTTGCAGCTGAGGAAGAAGTGTGCGATGGGCAGGTCTGGCTAGCTCTCTGGGTGTATAGATTTTTTCCTATCTAGGAGATGCCAGAGCCAGCCTAAGTGGGCAACTGTCCTTTGGCTCTGCTGAGACACTTAGGAGCCAGGAGACCTTTTAGAGCAGCCCTTAGTGGCTGCAGGCTACAGCAAGTCACTGTCTTCGCTGATGGTCACAGCTGTGGGCAGCACAGGAAACCAGACCTCAGTGAAGTGGAAGAAGCGCAGGCCCATTGACTAACCCTCAGCGGCCTGAGCCCCACACCCGAGTCACATCCGACCTACATACAGATTCGAAATCATCAGTAAGACGGGGCACCTTCTCAGTCGGGACCAAATTGTAGGGTAGAGATTTATAACACCAATAGGAGTAAAGGGGAGAAAGTTCTAGAAGGCCTGCCATGCTTTTACAAGGCTTCTAAGGAAGATGGTGGCCATGCCTGACACTAGGGTGGGACTTACTTCTCCAGGCTTTCAGGAGTGTGGTGGGTACATTTTACAGATGAGGAAGTCAAGTTATAAAGTCCAAGGGCATGCACTTGGAAGCAGGAGGAAGAACGAGGGTCATGGGATTGCACCCAGCCACGGACCCACAGTCTCTGCATCATGAGTCCACATGGCACCTTCAGATGGGTCTTGGAAGAGTGGCTGGGATGTGGAAACCTATAGTTCAAAGGCACAGGGTAGGACTCAAGGAGATGAGACACCTGCCCATTCTGGGACCTAGACCCAGCCTCGGACAGCATCATGCTGTCACTCGATGTTGCTTGGATTCTAACAGCTTCCTTGGGGGAGGGCGTGAGAAGGCGTGGCATCAACGACACAGACACAGGGAGTCCATTGAAAGCAAATAATGAACTCATTTATTCAATAACAGGGAAGGCCTTATATCCCCTCCTCCCAGTGCCCAGTCTGTGTGGTTGTCCCTCATTGGCTGGCCATCATCAGGAACTCTGACATCAATCAGGAACTCTGACATTGAGTGTTGCTAGGTCCTCAGGCAGACTCTGCACAATCAGAAACTCTGTCAGCAACTAGGAGCTCTGACAGTGACCAGGGAGGGACTCTGACAGCTCCTGTTCCTAGGCCCTCAGGCAGACTCCAGGTTGGCTCTTAAGGAGTACTTATGTGCATGCTTAGGCAACTGGTCTGAGCCAATTTCCTCGACCCTTTGGGCCTGTCCTACTACAACTCATCACCTAGAAAGCCAATGAAGGGGATGAATGGGATAGGACTGTGGCTGACAGCCAGGACTCTGCTCCTCAGTGGGGTTCTGCTCACCCACAGCCAAGGCACGTGGGACATTAGAGAAGCCAGGCTCTCTCTGTGCCTGCCTTGATCACCTTGGTCCCTCACCTTCTCAGGCTTCAGTTCCTATGTTCCTCTAGAGCAACGGTTCTCAAACTGTGGGTCGCAACACCTTTGGGGGACAGTGTCACATAACAGATATTTATATTCCAACTCGTAACAGTAACAAAATTATAGTTATAATGTAATGAAGTGGTAACGAAATAACTTTATGGCTGGGGGTCACCACAACGTGAGGAACTGTATCGAAGGGTCACAGCGTTAGGAAGGTTGAGAACCACAGCTCTGGGGAAAGAGGATGCCTGGTGGGATGACCATACACCTTGGCCTTGACAGGTTGTTGTATTCGCAGTCATGACTCTGCCCCACGGTCCCGAAAATGCTGGGGAGCCCCAAGCCTCCCAGGCTGTGCAGGTGCACAGGCTGGAACACAGGCAGGAGGAGGAGCAGAAAGAAGAGCGTCAGCACAGCCTACGTATGGGCTCTTCCGTGCAGAGGAGGACCTACCGCAGCAGGTGGGAGCACCTCCCGCAGCGGGTGGGAGCACCCATCCCTGGCCCCTCCCCACCCCAGTACCCCAGTTTGAAGCATAGCCCAGCT